TATAAGCATGTAGTGGAGACCGTAATATAGCCTTATACAACATGAAAACATCTTTTTAAGCTGTATTGTGGCATTGCTCGAATATAAGCAACAGCGAAGAGAGACATCATTTTTGTCCGCGTACAAAGGAAAGCTGGCGCAAGTATTAGCAGAAAAATTATAAGCCATCAATTAATTTGCCTCTTGCTATTAAAAGTATTCTTAAAGACACATTCTTGGCACTACGGTCAGATGATTTGTTATCAAGTTGCCTGTATGGCGCAACACAAAATCCAAATGAAACTTTCAACTAAATATTCTGGAAAAAGTGTCCAAAAAACATTTTTGTTACTAAAAAGGTACTAGATTGCGATGTTGCTACTAGATCGTGACGTTGCTATTAGATCGTGACGTTACTACTAGATCGCGACGTTGCTACTAGATCGCGATGTTGCTACTAGATCGTGACGTTGCTATTAGATCGTGACGTTGCTACTAGATCGTGACGTTGCTACTAGACCATAACGTTGCTTCAGCTGCAATAAATTACAATGATTGTTTGAGAAGCTTCACAAGAATTTTTGATTATTTGCAGCTTTTGCCTGGAAATTTTATTTGTTTTATTTTTATTTTTTATTTTTATGGTTTACATTTGTTAATCGTTGTACAGCTTTAAATAATCCATAATAAAAATAATAATATAAACTTACAACGACATAAAACATAACAAACATAAACAAAGTATCTGAAAGAAGATCGCAAGGATCTTGTTGTCAGAACCTTAAAAAAGCATTTAACAAAGATAAGATAAAAAAAAAAATGAAAAATTTTTTACAAAATTGCAAGGCAAACAATCTGTCTGAAGAAAGATTAAGAGAATCTTCTCATCAGATTTTTATACAAGAGTAAACCAACTTATAAATTAAAAAGTAAAAAGTATAAGAACAATAAATAAAATAAGTAGGATTAAACTTCTATAACACATAAACATGTATATAAACAATAAAAAAAATAAAGTAGACCAAAATATATTTTTAACTTTTACTACTAATAATAACTCAATATATTATCTAATGAAAGAATGAGGTTTTTCAGTTGTTTTTTTTAAAAAGGCAAAAAACAATAGGTACCAAAACAATTTTATTCCAAAGGTGTGGCGCTCGATAGGTAATACAAAATTGATTAAAGTTTGTTTGATAAAAAGGTTCATTTAACAAGTTATTAATTCTCAAAATATATTTTCTGACCGGTTTAAAAGAGAAAAGATCTTTGAAGACGGCTAGGGATAAGTTATTTATCCACATATATAGCTAGATTTATGAACAATAACATTAACGTTAAGACGTTTTGACGAATAATGCTTTTATAATGATGGTTTATCTTTTTTTTAAAAAAATGCTTTAATAAAGTATAGTATAAGTATTTGTTTACTTAAAAATCAAATGTATTTTTGTAAAAACGATGAAATATATAGGTATAAAAAACGATAAAATATATAGGTATAAAAAACGATTAAATATATAGGTATAAAAAACGCTGAAATATGTAGGTATAAAAATCGCTTTTTATGGCATTTTTAATGTTTGTGTTTTTGTTATATTTTGAATCAAAAAAATATTATTCAATGTTATTTTCATTGTACAAAATATATGAAAAATATAAGCACTAAATGCCATAAAATGCCATTTTTATACTAATATATTCCAAATGTTTTCAAAATGTTACATTTTTATATTGTTTACAAACAAAGTTACATTTTTTAACAAAGTAAACTTATTACTAATAGGTTTACTAATAGTATTAGTTATATGATTGTTTTTTTTTAACACATGTACGTTTCAATTCTTAATTTCCCTCTGCAGTATGCTAGTAGGTTTATAATATAACTGTATGGTAGACAGCAATCAAAATTTTATTTAAACATAAAAACATTTTTTGACAACACTAAGATGAGGCTGTATTCAAGTTGTACCTAAATGTTTCAATATTTAAAGATTTTATTTAGCCTAAAATTATAAAACTGTTGTATGAATTGTTTATTGAGCTCTGTTAGTATAAAACAACTCAAACGTTCCTTCTAGTGTTAATATGCTTTCGATATTGGTTTCTATATTCTTATAAATGTAGTTTAATTCCCTCATCTTAAATATTAAATATATAAAAGTTATTAAGTACATCTAAAACTTGTAATTTCAATTTATCACATTATAAATAAATAAATATTTTATATATATATATATATATATATATATATATATATATATATATATATATATATATATATATATATATATATATATATATATATATATATATATTTATATACATAAACGAGATTGGTTTTAAAAGTTTTTAAGGTGAGTCTATTCGTATACACGTGAGACTAGTTTATATCTATATATATGTAGTCTATTCGTACGTTAAAATAAAAAAATTAAGTTTGATTTTTAATACGGTGCGACTCGGCAAAATTTGCATTAAATTCATGTAATTGCTAACGCAAAAGCTTCTGGGATGTGTAGTACAGTCAGATTGTAAACATAAACAACAATAGTAATAAAAAATTACTATTTTTACTTTGTTATTGCATGATTCAATCAATTTTAATTTGTTCTTCTTTTTACTTTCTTTAAATTATTTAGATATAGTACAGAATACTGATCAAAGTCTGCCGGATCTTGTGCAGTTCTAATTTTGAGCATATTGAATACTATTTGCATTGTTTCTTTACAAAAATAGTATTATGATAATTTTTACTATACAATACTTTTTTTGATATATATTATTGAATTATATTGATATATATATATATATATATATATATATATATATATATATATATATATATATATATATATATATATATATATATTATATATATACTTAAATACTAAATATACTTTAAAACTAAATTATACAACAACAATATATATATATATATATATATATATATATATATATATATATATATATATATATATATATATATATATATATATATATATATATATATATATATATATATATATATATATATATATAAGTGTATATATGTATATATATATACATATATACACTTATGTATATATATATATATATATATATATATATATATATATATATATATATATATATATATATATATATAGTCTATTTTTGTTGTTTATGTTTACAATCTGGCTGTACTACACATCCAAGAAGCCTTTGGGTTAGCAATTACATGAATTTAATGCAAATTTTGCCGAGTCACACCCCACTGATAAATAGCTTACTAGAACTAATCTTAAACTTGTTTCCATTTGAATATATTGATCTTTTACCTTAAGTTTTTGTATCAATAATTTCCTTTAAAATTGAAAAAGCTGCCATTTTTAAAAGAATTATTAGTTTTATGGTTTCTAGTAAGCTTTTGTTTAATACACTATAATCTATCAGTCTTGCAAGTTTGAGCTGTCATAAAAGAGGCTGAGCAAATGTTTTTTCATTGATTTTTTTGCATTTTATGCTGATTCAGCAACAGAAAAAAAAAAAAAGTAAACTAATCGTTTTGAGCATTTTTAATTATATTAATAAGTATTTTCTTTTAAACTAATTTTGGTCTATGATTAAGTTGGCAATCAAAAAATATTTTTTTAACCTGATAACCACCTCAAGTTATAAACATTTTTTGTTTGTGAGAGATTTCGTATTAAAAATCTAACTTAAAGTTTTTTTTAAACGTGCAAATAGATTATATATATAAATAAAGTCTATTCACACGTGTATACGAATAGACTCACCCTAAAAAAATAACTTTTAAAATCTCTCGTAAACTCATTTAAATTCACATTTCATTCTATGATTGTCAGATCCGTCAAGAAGGATCCCTGAATATCATCAGTCGAGATACAAAAGCAATTAGAGCTGTCTGTATTGGACCGAACAATCAGACGACGTGCTGTTGAAGCCTGATTGTTTTCTCGACGCCCTGCCAAGAATCCGCTGATTTCACTAAAAAACCAGAAGAAAAGACTCCTGTTTGCTACATCTCATATTGACTGGAATGCGCAGAAATAGCGAACTGTCCTGTTCAAAGTTCAGCATCATTGGGAGCGATGGCATTTGCCGTGTACATCGACCGGCCGGAAAACGCCTCAATTTACGTTACTGTCATAAGACCGTGAAGCATGGTGGAGGCAATTTAAGGATCTGGGGGTGTTTTTCTGCTAACGGTCTAGGTCCAATCCATCAAATCGATGGAATAATGGACCGTTTCATGTATAAAAATATCCTGAAAGATGTTATGTTACCTCATGCTGAATGGAATATGCCAATAAAATGGGTTTTTCAGCAAGACAGCGATCCGAAACACACTGCAAAAGTAGTCAAGCAGTGGTTTTAAGACAACCACCTATCGGCGATGGATTGGCCGCCTCAACCTCCGAATCTTAACCCTTTCAAGAACCTGTGGGAGATCGTCAACCGTAGAATTAATCGTGAAGTTGTTCGTAATAAGGATCAACTGTTTGAATAAATCCAAATGGCCTGGGCAGCGATTGCACAAAGTTTCATTGATCACCTGATCGAATCTATGCATCGAAGATGCAAGGCTGTGATCGACAACAAAGGATTCGCCACGAAATATTGATAGCGAAATACAGCTTGGTCAACATTTTGTGGACACTTGTTTTGTCTAGAAGGAAATCAACTTTTTTTAATACTTTTGATTAATTTATTAATTGTCAATGAGCATCGCGGAAGTGTTTAACGAGGAAGTTTACGCCTCCTTCCTTACCGATGATGCAAAATATGCCAGAGCTCGTTTCGAACACTGGATCTCTCGCTTCTGAAGCAAGCGCTCAAACACTGCACCACAGCCGCTTAATTAAGTAGAAATAATTGATATGCGATACGATTCAAGGTTTTTTTACAAGTAAATATTTATATCGATGCAATGACTATTGAAAAATATATGCTGTCTTCATTGAAGAATTAAGAAAGTCATTAGTTTAAGAAGAAAAAAATTGGCAAAAGAAAAAAACTCAAAACTTAAATATTTATTAAAAAAACAATAACATAAACTGTCAACGCTCAACACAAAATACTGGAAAACAACCCCTATTACAAAACAACCCGTAAATATTGCAAGATAGCACCACAAAATTTTTTCATCCTATTTTATTCTTTGGCGTCAGTAATACCTTCATTTGTAATAGCATACGTGGCTTCGCATTCAGGAAGGTCAGGGCTGAAAACAAAAACAAAAATTTAATAATTCAAAGATCATAGATTTTTTTAATTTCACATAATTTTAACGTGCAAGGAACCCACTCTTGTGTGGTTTGGACAGGTTTTTATGTCATTAACTTAAGTAGCCTTCTGGCATCACCCTATTTTGCAGATCAGGAATGAGTATATTTGTAAAACAAGGAAAATGACCATTTAAAGTTTACGAACTCCTCCTACTATAACCACAATTAAACTTGTGGTTTATATCGGAGTATTCTTTTTGCCTAAGTAATTATTCCTTAACCTCAGTTAAAAAAATTTGACCAGATCGATGAGTGTGAGAACAAGGGCGTAAAAATTACCTGTCATAAATCTTTGCTATTCTTAATTCACCACGTCCTTTTCTGAGAGAAATACGAGTTGTAGATGCATGTGCTAAAATATGTCCACCAATTGGCTTTTTTGGATCAGATTGAAACCTTCGGTAAAGACATTTAAATATATATAAATTCAGAGAGAGAATGCAAATTTCAGAGCATAAAATACCTTTGTAATACAATAATACGACAAATCAAAATATAATAACACAACTATAGTTAAATATATACAAAATATGATATAAATAGTGTATCGTTGGAAGTTGTTTAACTTATTTAATTTCGCATTAAATTTTCTTTAACTTAATAATACAAAAAGATGTTCATCAATACAAAAATGTACCATCACCACTTAAATAGCACAAAAATTTAACATCATTTCTTTATCGGATCAACAAAACAACATTTTTAACAAATTAACAATGACAACAATATTTGTCACCAGTTCTAACAATTATTTGTTAGAACTGCTGACAAACAAGTCATTGTAAAAAATAATTAATAAGACTTTTTGATGACATTTGTCGTAGTTTAATTAAATTGAAACCTAACAGTTGACTTTTAACAGTAAGACTTTTATTAATAAAACAATGCCTTCATGACAAAATTACTCTATACTATTTTATACTGAAACTAAAAAAAACTCTATGAAAAAATCTGATATCAGTTTTGGAATAACATAAAAATACTGTAATACATCATTTGTATTTTCAGTAGCACAATAAATTTTTTTTTTTCTTTGCGTAGTGTTATCCATTGTTATTCACATCCTAAACCTTAATATTCTCTCGAAAATTAAATTCAAACAACTTTAAATAATTACAATAAACTTAAACAATTCACATTAACAGATTCTTATTGCATTTTAAAACCTGCGTATATTCGCATGTATTATCATACCATTTCTTATCTCTAGAGAAGCAATATTGTTCATGTAACCTTATGTATTCTGCCATTTATCTAGTCTTTATTTTGTCTCTAACCCATCTCTAACTTAGTCAAGCTCTCTCATTCAGAAGCCTGCCATAGTGTTCATATGTATCAATTAAGCAAATTAATTACTAAGTAATGTAAAAGTAAAACTTTTCTTTCAACATTCTTATTATTGAATTCATTTCTTCCAGAAACGTTTGTAGTAAATAAATAGTATGTAGGAACTAAAACATCAAAATCATGATAAAGCGGAATACTGCACCAACCTCTATACAATATGTAAACAAGCAGAACAGCCTTAACCACTTTTTAGTATCTTAGGTTCTTATCAGGTTTAAATGTAAGCAATCTCTGATATCAAACAGGGTGGTCGCTCAAATTTAAATGATAAAGTGGAATACGGCACCAACCTTTACACAATATGTAAACAAGCATAATAGCCGTAACCACTTTTTGGTTAGGTTCTTATCAGAATGTAACCAATCTCTGATATCAAAAAGAGTGGCCACTCAAATTTGAAAATAAAATTCCATAACTTTTTTCAAATTTCTGTGATAAAAAAAAACAACATCTTTTGAACATTTTTAATGTTTTTGGAACGTTCAAAAGACGTCTTTTTTAGGCCTCGTGCCCACTGGGTAGGGTAAAATACAGTGCTCGCCATCCTCTCAGGCATTGTCAATTAGTCACTAAAAAACATGCAGACAAAAAACTAATTGCTAGGAAGTTTCGAAATTGTCTGAAAAAAATAAAATTTGACAACTGTAACTTTAAAAGTAAAGGTACAAGATCTTTTTAGAAACTAAGTAGCGACAACAAGAGCAAATGGCGAGCACTAAGTGTTTTACGTTATTTCTAAATAAAAATATCTATTGTGTAGATGAGGAAAAATTAAAAAAAAATATTTTGCAAAAAAAAAAAATTATTTTTTCCAAAAATATAATTCGTAGCTCAAATAATGTAAACATAATCTTTTTATGAACAAATACGTAACAACTCTATGCTCATATAGTGTGAATAGAATATAAAACATCCCTTAAATTAAAAAAAACGGAAATTATTATATTTAAATCTGTTCAAACAAAAATAAAATAGCAATTAAATTTCAGATTAAGTGGGCAGAAAATAAATCTAGTTAACTCTATTAAATATCTTGGAATCAAAATAGACTCTAATTTATCTTTTGCATTGTATCTTCAAGACTTAGCATTGAAATTAAGCAGATCGAATGGTGTTTTAGCTAAAATTAGACATTATGTTAATAATGAAACTTTGCTTAATATATACCTTTTTTTTTGCTTAATATATGCTTTTTTTCACTCTCATCTCAGATAATTTGCTTACCAAGTTTGGGGACAATCTATGTAGTTTGCTTTTTTAAGACTAACTTTTCTTTAAAATAAAGTTCTAAAATTAATTTATTTCCAACATACTAATTCGAACTGTAGCATACTCTATTTTTTATCTAAAGTCCTTAAATTGTGTGACCTTATTCAGCTATCAAATTGGCTATTTGTTAGGAACCAAAATAATAATAGCCTACCTCATATATTTATCAACTTTTTTAGTTATAGGGAAAATTGTAACTGTACTCTACGACCTGCTTTCAACTTTAAATTGTCTGTACCTAGAAACCGATCTGTTCATCAATCCATACAACATAAAACCTGAAACTAAACTGAAATGTTACAATAATATTCTGTTTATTTTATTGTTATTATTACTGTATTTTTTACCATAATGAATATTATTATTGTTGTTATTATTGTTGCTGTTATTATAATTATAACTAGTTTTATACTATTGTTTTTATATTATAATTGTTGTTGTTATTATTACTATTATAATTTTTATCATTATTTTTATTATAGTATTTAAAAACTTTGGCATATAAAATTCGCCGAATGGTCACACACGAGCAGTGAACGCTTGAGGGAGGAAATGAAGTACATAAGAATAAAGGAGAACTATTTTTTGAACAAAGCATATTTTGACAGTTGTCAAGACAAAAAAAATTTTAATTTTTTTTTATATTAAAAGAGGAATATTTAAAAATGCACCTAAAACAGTACTTAACAATAATAATTAAAAATAAAAAATGTTTTATAAACACTAATATGAACAAAGATACACAACAAATATATAACCAAATAAAAACTTAAAAACAAAAAATTGATTACAAAATAAAAAGTATGCTTACAACAATCGAAGGCCTCAGAATGGAAAAAAAAATTAATGCTAATGTGTAAACATAATTTGTGCAGTGATTAAGTAATAAACATCTCCTCAGAGTCGCGTCTATTATTACTGACGTTTTGATGAGGATCAGCACTTATAACAAGTTTATTCCGTCAGACAAACGTCATTGCCACGTATGCTTTACCCCGCGACTTACGCCTATTCCATACTGCAGTAAAAAAGGACTCACTACAAATAGCCAAAACCCAACCATTCTCAAATTTGTAAAGCACCAATATTTTTTTGATGATATGATATTAAAAGTATAGATCTACTAAACAAACGAAAATAATTAAATAAATCACTTATCATACCACCGAAAAAAAACATGAAAAAACAATAAATTAAAATTCAAATAGAAGCATAAAAATACTAATAAATTTATTTCAAGACAAATAGGTACTGCTAGCATAAACAAACCCGAGACAATTAGAGATCAGTATACCTCATAAAAATTTTTTTAAACCATTAAAACAACAATAGTCTTCAATAAACTCTAACGCTGTCATAGATACCTCATTCGAAATATAATAACCAATCAAAAGTGTAGGAAAATGACCTACCCGCGAAGCCCAAAATTATAACAATTATTGAATAATCTATGATAGTGCAAAAACAAAAACAAAAAAAAAAACGTCACACAAAAACCATTAAAAATGTCACCCACATAAATGTAAACATGTAGTGAAGGATATAAAAATATTCTCTGAATAATAGTAAATGATGAAAATTACGCATGTGGAAGTTAAAACAAAGCTGAGTAATGAATGCAAGATAATATAACATAAAAATTCCTTGTTAGCAGTGATATGAAAATCAGCAGATAAATAATATATTAATAAATATTATAATGACTAACTAAAAATTGTAATAAAACCAGATAAATATAAGCCAAATAAGTGGTTAAAAATTCGTTCTGGGTGATATAACAATGATATAAGTCGTGATATAAAAACGATGTATGAAGCGGGAAAAAATATTGTTAAGAAGTAAAGATTTCTCTACGGTCCGAATTGAAAGTAACTTTGGGACCAAGGAGGTTTAATAAACAGGAGACACTGTAGTATATACTTTGTATAAAAGGCGGTGAAGCCAGTTTTGAAAGTCAGCGGACATCTTGGTTAACCCAAAACATTGTTATGTTTTGCGCGAAACTTGATATTTTCAGTAGAAAACTTTGTTTAAATCAAGTCAAAATATTGATATAAATGATTGAATCATTTGATATAGTTATAATGAAACTAAACCTACTGAAAGCTATAATGAAACTAAAACAAACTCCATATAACAAAAAGTACATATACATACATTATGTATGTATATGTAAATATATTACATATATATAATATATATATATATATACACATACATTATGTATATGTATATATATATATATATATATATATATATATATATATATATATATATATACACATAATGTATGTGTATATATTGGAATATAATATGTGTTATATGGAGTTTGTTTTAGTATATATATATATATATATATATATATATATATATATATATATATATATATATATATATATATATATATATATACATATATATATATATATATATATATAAATATATATATATATATATATATATATATATATATATATATATATATATATATATATATATATATATATATATATATATATATATATATATATATATATATATATATATATATATATATATATATATATATATATATATATATATATATATATATATATATATATATAGAAGAGCAATTCTTATAAACAGATGTTTTTTTGATGCATATTTTTTTCTTGTTATTTTGTTATGGTCTAAAAATTACGTTTAATTCGTAACTTTACTTTTTGAAAATTTCGATTTAGATATGGTCTCAAACAAGGAGGTTTAATAAACAGGAGACGGTGTCACGTGACTTTTTTGAAGCCAATTTTTAAAACGGCCGCCATCTTGGTCAACCCAAAACATTTTGCGGAACTTAGGAATTTGCTAAAAAATTTAATAAATTCTAGTCACCAATTGCACCAAATAGATGAAAAATTTGTCAGCTTATGTTTGGAAGCTTTTACTATTTTATAAAGAATTATTCGCTAACAGATTGCCTTTTTCAGTTAATTCTAATTCGGAATACTGAAATAGACATTCAGATAGCTGTATTTCAACACGATTCTAGAAGATAATGTGTTTCAGATTAAAAGATTCTTGAGAAATTAAGACTAAATATTTGTGAGTTTTTATCTATATTTAAACAATTAAAAATAAATATATATTTACAAGCGTGTGTGTGTGTTTATATGAGTATAATACACATATAAACACACACATATATAATATATATATATATATATATATATATATATATATATATATATATATAAATATATATATATATATATATATATTGTTATGTTTTGCGCGAAACTTGATATTTTCAGTAGAAAACTTTGTTTAAATCAAGTCAAAATATTGATATAAATGATTGAATCATTATATATATATATATATATATATATATATATATATATATATATATATATATATATATATATATATATATATATATATATATATATATATATATATATATATATATATTATTATTATTATTATTATTATAACCAGTTTTATACTATTGTTTTTATATTATGATTGTTTTTGTTATTATTACTATTGTTATCATCTTCATCATTATTGTTATTATAGTATATACTTTTTATAATCGCTACAATTATTTTTAATCACTACCATTACTTTTATTATTCCTACTTGTATTAGAATTATTATTATTATCTCCATTTTATAATTATTGAGTCTGACAGGTGTTTACTTTATATTAGTACTAATTACTATTTGTAAATATCCTTGATATAACAACTTTGTTGAGAATATATTTTGATTTGATTTGATTATAATAAAACATAACTTTATTTTAAAAATTTCAGGTTTCTGAATAACAAATAACTATTAACTATTTTGTGTGCAAGAATTAATGATATCAATCTTTTGTTTTAATGGTTAAAGTGATGCAGTTAAAAATTGTGTACAAAAATAAAAATTTTCTTTCAAGATAAGAAATTACTAAAACTTAAATTCAATGACTTCTAAATCTCTAATTGAACATTAAACTTTAATTGAACATTGTTGTTGTTCAATTAAAGTTTGCTTTTTTCCGAATAGCCAGCAAATCTATGGAATTAATGAATTTTTCTCCTTGAATGCTAAAAAAGTTCCATTTTTCCTTTTAATTTTTTAAATTTAAAAAAGAACATTTTTCCTTTTAATTTTTATCCAAAAATCGAACATTTACAGAATGAGCTATCTTGCAATTTTTTATAATTCATAAGTGATTTAAAAATTGTTAATACCTGCTTTACATGGCTATTAACAGTGCAATGACTTACTAAAGAAATTTTTTGCATGTTTTTAATAAAAAGCTCTTTGTCAATGCTACTCAACGCTTCAATCAACAATAAAGTGAAAACTAAGATAATGACTTCTTTAATATTTTAAAATTTTGTTAAACAATGAAAAAAACTTATCAAGACACATTTAAAGGCAAGTGAATTAGCTGAACTCTTCTTTGTTTCAACTGATTTTATAAAGTCTTTAATCTGATTTTTGGCAGGATCAGCTGTTTTGGATGATATCAACTTAGATCTAAACAACTTATCAACCAGCTGGGTAAAATGAACAAATCCAATTATTTTTTAGTTGACCATATTATTTAGGGATAGACATTTCAAACTAACATGTACTTCAAAGGACTTCTCTCTTCCAACTTTTTAACAATTGCAATATCCCTGAAGAATTCCAACTTTGCTTAAGAAGGTTGTCCTAAAAATGATATACTAGTATATCATACCATTTACATTTGGTTCTTTTTCTTTGCTTAAGCTTTTCCAGTATAAAAAGGTATTAGATTTATTTTAAGATGCAATTTTTTACAATCATGGTGTTAAATAGTTTTATTCAGATCATGTCAATATATTTAGATATTTTTAATGTGATGCTGTCACTAACAAGATTATCATTACTAGTTTATTAGTTCATCCTATCCATACCCAGAGTTCAATTAGAAAGTTTATACCAGAGATTTCTTAAGTGCTCTAACTTCTTAACTGAAGCAGATTGTACTAAATCAAATATTACCTGGAACGAGGGACCTGACCTGAACACATTATAATTGATTGATCAATACAAACTCAAACAAAATTTTGAAAACTTATTTGATTATTTATTTAACTGATACAGTTGACTCTTGATATCGAACTCTCAGGGAAACAGGAAAAAAGTTTGAGATATTGAAAGTTCAAGATATTGAGAGGATTTTGGCTTAAACAAGTGCACAAGGAACCAGAAATAAAGTTCAAGTTACACAAAAGTTTGAGACATCAAGTAGTCGAGATATCGAGAGTCGACTGTAGTTTATTTTGAATAATATAAAGATTTAAACTTCTAAAAGGGGAGATCTGATCTGACTGATTGCAATAAAATTGTTATCTATAAATTCTACAACAATACTTTTTTCAAAAAGATCTTATTACTAGATATACTAGTACTTTTCTCCACAAATATCTTAAAAATATCACTAGTAGAAAAAAAAAATCATTTAAAAAAAGTTTCATGAAATTTCCATATTTTTTAATAAAAATTTAAAAATTCCATGACTTTTTCCATGATCAAATAAAGTTCAATGACATTTCCATGACTAGTGGCCACCCTGATCAAACCTGTGGCTAAATGATTTTGAAGAGGGTTTTTCTGATCTGACTATTAAGGTTTGTACCAAACAACCAACAATTTCTTGGTTTCCAAGACAATTAGATTAAAATGGAATTTCAGCAACAAAAAATAAATTAGTTCGTGCACTGCCGAATTATGGCCAGGTAAGCTAACTCATGATGAGCCGAACGGAATTATGGCCAGGTATGGCCATAATTCCGTTCGGAATTATGAACGGAACAGAATTATGGCTAATTCAATATAATGAGCATCAGTAATTGCTACAAAAAAGTACCATATTTCTACAGCCAAAAACTGTCAATATGTTTAACATAGTGTCCATTTTGTGTTTTGATGAGATTTATAGCAAACATTCAGAAATTATAATTTTTGGAATTTGGAAAAAGGAATTTAAGAAGTTGAGCTTAAAAAGCAGACAATGGTAAAGATGAATTCTACTTGTAGTAAAACCATCCATTTTCAATTGTTCAAACTGTAGCTGGTCTAATACTTCGATGCTTCTGAATACATCACAACTTTTTTTTATGAGAATATGATTTGTAGATAGCAGCATTCACAATTAAGTTTTAACAAACAATTCTTATTAGCCCATCACACTTGTCCATGACATGAAATATGCACAATTCTAGTTTAAACTCAATTCTTTTGCTTTCTGTGTACTTTTTTTGTTATCTTTACTTCAGCTGATGTTTTAATTCAGCAATTTTCTTTCTGTTTTCTTTATATAAGATAAAATTAATGAATAAAAGAACAGTAATAAAAATAGAAAAGATAACAAAAAAGCACAAAAAAGTCTTAAATGATCGTAAATACTAAAGTGCATATGAATTATTCACAATTGAAAAGCAATCATTATTTCTATAGCATCTATAGAATGAATGCATTATCATAAATATTATAGCAAACATTTTCATTAAGAATGCATGCGTTATCATAAACATCTATAGAATGCATGCGTTATCATAAACATCTATAGAATGCATGTGTTATCATAAACATCTAGAAAACAAATAATATTTACAAAAACAAAAAAAGTCAATTTTACTTTGTATACAACATTTGCACTATAGGCCTAGTAATGTACATACATTATGATGGCTAAAGCCCACATGCTGTAACCATAGTAATGTATGAACATTAGATGTATATGTTGTAACTGTTATTGTTGTTTCACTTTAAACAATAAAAAGAAAAAACTTCGATTTAAGCTTTTTGCAAAAATTTTTCTAAATTGTTAAATGAATTTAGTAAACACTGCAACACAAAGTAAAAATATTGTAAACAATAAAATGTTCTCAGAAAAAGAAATCCTTCTTTTTTCTACACTATTTTTTTTGCACTTACAGCCACTTTATGTTAGATAGCTTTTAAATGTTCTATGATAATTTTAGAAAATACTGTAATTTTACTTAGGGTTGCTGTACAGACATACATATATAGGAAATACAACAAAAATGTATCATTAAGTCATTTATCAAAATGGAGTTACCAAATTGAATTGAATATACTAATAGTATCTAGACATTCCTCACCTTCTGATAATCACTTGAAATTAATGTTAATTAAGAAAAAATACCATTGGTTAAAGTATTATTTTTACCTTGAGTAAGCAAATATACAGTTTAAGAACCGCTATTACACAAACAAAAAAACAACAACAAAAAAATAAACTTACGACATTGTAGCTGCATTACAGAAGATAGCATAAAAAAAAGTAAAGTGGCATAAAAAAAAATTTGTACCATGTTATGTAAGTAGATTAAACTTAGTAAATAGATTTAAAAAAATTTCACAAAACAATATCTTACCTCCTGGATCAGCAGTCATCTAAAACAACAACTTAAATTAAATTGTTGTTTTAAAACTAAGACATTTGATTAAAAAAATAATAATAATAGTAATATTAATAAAAAAAACTAACTTGATTGGTTATCCATACAGCAACATTATACTCTGAAACAAGTTTAAATATATTTTTATTTTAGTTAACAGTAACATGCAGAAACTTTCAAAGTTGAAAATACAAATAACGTTTTACCTTCAGAAATTTTTTGTAATTTAGAAAGCATTTGACCTAGTTTCTGCTGTCTATCCGCTAGTTCACCACGACCACTATAATCAACGCGAAACAATGCCATGATTGAGTCAATTATCTAAAGTATATAGTAATTAAAACTAGCGATTTAAAATCAAACATCAGCCTGACATACTTTGACAAAAAAAAAAAGGAAGCTACATAACATATCGAAGAAGTATACAAAGTATTAAAAAAAGACAAGATCTTTAAATAAAAAAAAATTAAAATAAAAAGAAATAATAACAACTGTTAAATAACAACAACAAAGAACACCAACAAAAAATAACAACTGTTAAATAACAATAACAAAGAACACCCAAAAAAAAACAACAACAATTGTTAAATAATAACAACAAAGAACACCAAAAAAAACAACAACAACAACTGTTAAATAATAACAACAAAGAACACCAAAAAAAAAAAAAAAAAAACAACAACTGTTAAATAACAACAAAGAACACCAACAAAATGTAACTGTTAAACAACAACAACAAAGAGCACCATCAAATTTTAACTGTTAAATAACAGCAACAAAGAACACCAACAAAATGTAACTGTTAAATAACAACAACAAAGAACACCAACAAAATGTAACTGTTAAATAACGACAACAAAGAACACCAACAAAATATAACAAGATGATTGTTTTACTTTAATAAACATTACAATAACAGAATAATAACAGAATTAATACTAATAATTTATTTTTGTGGTGTTATGCATAAAACAAATAAAAATAGCTGAACTTCATTATTTGAAATTTAATCAAATAATGTTATCTTCCTGACAAAAAAATTTGATGAACCCCGCATGTAATAGCCAAACTTGATTTATGGGATGGCATAGGTGTAGGGTATGTAGGGGTAAGGCATTTATGGTACTTTAGTGCTAATACTTAAGTAAAACAATACTTAAGTATGATATCCACATGTAGATCACCTAAGTAATATATGTACCATACTTACACATAGCCCACATTTACATCCCATAAATTGAGTGTGGTTATAATTTAATGACACACATGGTCCAAGTCAAATTTTTCTGTTAGGTTTTTAAGAAAATTCTCAATACAATTATTCTACAATATTCTAGAACTGCAAGAACTGTCTAAAGTTTCAAAAATTTTCCAGAATTTGAGTAGAACTTTTCAGCTTTTATTTTATTCAGGTTTTTTTTTTAAAAAAACTTTTAGAACTTTCATAAAACATTTTCATATAAATGCAAATTAAAACTTTTGAAGTTGCTTATTTATTTATTACTAATTTGAATAAACTTTTGCAATAAACAATGTCTTGCAATAATAAAAAATATAAAATTTTATAGTCATTTTATTTGTTAATTATTCAAAAAAATATATATTTTTTTACTTTATACTACATAAAAAGAACCAATACACTCCAAAACATAAGAAACCAAATAAAAAATTTTATTTTTTAAACTTCATTTACTGAATACAGTATTTTTTCTCTTTAAAATAAGGAAATGATTTGTACATAATGACTACCTTGAAAATAAATATTTTGCATGTTTTGATATTTTAATGTAAAAATAAGGTCTTCCAAAATATTAGCAACTTTTTTATAACAATCAAAAAAGTACTTTTATTTTTTAGGGTTATTTAGTTTTTAGGGTCATGACACAGCTTATTAGACTCAATGAGTTTATCAACTTTTTCTTGCATAGTCTCATTCCACATGACTTCAATAACTTTATACAGCTTATCAATAATTTACATCAGGACTTACTGTTTTAGAGAATGCTAAAACAAATTTTCAATCAGATTGAGATGAGATGAGCTGGCTACTTTATTGTTTTAATTTTATTTCAAACAAGTGTTTAAGTAGTTTAGACATGTGTTTAGGGTTGTTATCTTGTTGAAACACAGAATACAGCAAAAAACATATACAAATCACTATTTCACAGATATAGTCAAAGAGAGAAGACCATACTTCCCTAAATAGAATGATGTCACCAATCTGGTCAGACACCTTGGTCTTACCAAGTCCAATATGAACTTTTGACATACAAGCGCAAGCAGTAGAAATTATTGGACAACAGTGTGCAATTCACAAATACCACTAAACACTTTTCTACACAACTAACCCTTAAGTGAAGCAAGCCACAATGGTAGATTTTCTGCTAAAGTCTGGTCTTTTAAAAAATCACTTTAAAAGTCATGATTGTGCCTTTTAAAGTGACCTTTAAAACTTTATTCATTAGTGCTAAATATAAGTTTTGGTAATTTATAAATCAAACCACAGTGCATAATTTTCTTTCTTTTCATATATAATTTATATACATTTTACTGTGAAAATAAAATCATTTTTGTTCTATGTAGTTGAATTTTTTTTAAACATCTTTAAACTTTATTGCCCAGTATAATTTAAGAGTACTTTTGCAAGCTGTCTCTTGGTAACAGAATCATCATCTACATCATCAGAGACATCAGCTTTCAAGTTCCGAAGTAATAAAGACTAAAAACTGTGACCTGTTAGTCTCGAAAAATTTGGTCAAAACCCAATCCTTGACATTTACATGAGCTCAAGGAAACCACAAGAGCTTAATCAAAGTAAAACAAGTGCATTAATAATTTAAACTTAATAATAGAAATTAGAGAGTTCATCTTTTTATTTGTTTCTGATAAAAATTTATGTTAAGGTGGTAGGCAACTTTGGTCCACTATAACTAACTTTGGAATAGCAACTGATCCTAATAACCTGAAGTAACTTTAAACAGATTTTATCTCCATGTTCATTATAATAAATTAATGCAGAATTTATACAAAAATAAAATTTTGTTTTAATAAAAATTTTTTTAGTCAATAACAAGTCCATAAAATTAAACAGTAATAACAAGTCCATAAAAATTAATAAAATACTTCATTTCAATTTTGCATCTGATCATATAAAGATTTTTTTAGCAAATTGCTATCATAAATATATTTTAGGTTTCTAATTCATATAGGTCTTTTTAAATTATGAATTAAGATTTGTAGTTTAACTTTGTTAGTTGCAACTTGCACCAGAAATATTCACCCTTATGACACAGAACGACAAATGTTATTATTATTAACAGTTGTACTGTGTCACAAAACTGTCCAGTTGTGCTGTGTCCACAAAACTGCTGTTTTTATTGTAAAATGTTGCTAGTATTATTTCTTATTGTAGAGCTACTTTGTCAAAAATATCAAAGAAAAATAAGCAAAAAAAAAAGGACAGCTAATAAGGCCAACAGTAGAAGATCCTTTTTTTAATTGTATTAAAAAAAAAGAAGCATGTCTACATCTTTTTAATAAAGCACCGATGCTGCAATTTAGACAAAACAGAATTATCACAAAAATTCTGCATTGAATTAACTGGAATGTTGGTTAAATTACTTTTTCATTGTAAGATATTATATTTTCAACCTCTTTAAAAGATGAAGTCTTTTATTCTATCTATTTGTTTTATTATCTTTTAGGTATTAAATCTTCTATTTTTTATTCGTTTTGATATCTTTTAGATTTTCATGGTAATTCAAATTATTTTTTTCAACCGATCAACCAAGAAAATATTTTCCTAATACACTGGTGTTTCTGTTTCGCCAGACGACTTTGCATAATTAATGTGACATATGTGATCTACTTTCCTTCTGTCATAGGCTGGTGGTCCCCTATGTTTTTTCCACATTGAACACAAAAGTGCTTAAAAAAACTTTTGTATCTATAATTTTATTATTAGTGATGAAAAACCAGGCTTTTGCCAAGAGTACAATTTGTACTCTTTTTATTGTTGGAATATTTATTGTTTCGTATATTGTACAAACTTCATTTTCTTTAACACAAATGAAGATTAAAAAAATGTTTTCACTGCAGTTAATCAAAAAAACAAAAACAAAACAAAAAAAAAACCTCAATCAATTTCAGTATTGATAAATTAGTAAACAAAATTTAAGAATAGAGAAATTAATAAATAAAAAATATTCCTACTTTTTGAATTTTACTTTACTGTTATTACTAATATTAATTTAACTTTTTTTTTGTACTTATGCTAGATTTAACTTCTTTATTTAATTAGAATTAATTTAATGTTTAATTGAATATCAACATAAGAGTTTATTATGAAAATTAGTATAATAAAATGATACTTGAAAGAATGACCAAAACACAGTTCTATATTATATATGAAAAATAAGCTTCACAAGAATTGTTGTTTTGGCCACCTAATTGGTTAAAACAATGTGTTACAAGATAAACAAACTAGCTAGTAAAAAAATACTACTTTAAACACTTTTAGTTTGATAAAAGATTTGAATTGTATTAAAATATACACAATAAAAATCTAAACTAGTATTTACAACATGCCTTGCATGCTCTTTGGCTATGCTTCTTTTTTGCATCAATTTAAAAAGATTATAGATATTTTCAGTTAAAACTCTTCTTCAAATATAATTCTTGCTTTAGGGTAATTATGGATTTTATTCAGACCTTGACTATTTTTTTATACATCCAAGCTCAAAAATATTTAATTGGATTTAATCTGGCAATTGAGCTGGAATATAAATCTTCTGTCTTCTTTCATTTATGCTTTGACTGTATAAGTTAGTTGGGCAGGCACTATTTATTTTGTTAAAACTGCCTCCATTCACTTCAATCAATCTGCATGTTTGCTTTTGGAACTATTATTTTCTTTATTTTGCTTTTCCAAAGACAATCCTATTCTTTCCTCACACCACCTTGATCTTGTGTTGTGTGTGTGTGCGTGTTTATATATATATATATATATATATATATATATATATATATATATATATATATAATATATATATATATATATGGGCATTTCCAAAAAATCACGCACGGAAACTCGTATATGTTTTTACTTTTATTTTCATAAAAATAAAACTAGCGATCTCTAATTTACTCTCATTTAATTCTAATCAATATAAATATTTTCTAAACAAAAAATAGTAAGAATTAGTAATGTTAACAAAGAATAAATAAAGTTTGAAATAGAATCACGCACGAAACAGAAAAACTTCTATTTTAGTTACTAGATAAATAAACTTTAATTCCTCGGACAATATAAGTTTCACCGGTAAATTTTTTAAATAATATTTTAAACATTAGTAAAGATTTCCAGAAAGTTACAAGATTGCACTATGAATCATAGAGTCACAGCAATCATTTAAATGCAGTTTATGAATGATCATGCACGGAAGTCATGCACGGATGTTCCAAATTTGTCAATTTCATGTAGTTATTTTTATGAAAATAAATTGCTAGTGAGTATTTCAAGTGAAATATTATACTTCTGCGACTCATATTTAATATATTTTCGATGAGAAACGGCAGTCATCAATTTCTAGCTAGAGTATGGCGTTTTGAAAATTATTGTTTATTTTTCAAAATGTAGCGATATTATTACTCAAAAAAATAAAATTGTAAAAATGTGTATATTTAATTTATTTCAGATAGCCTAAAATATGATAAAAATAATTTAGTTATAATTGTTCTTTAAGAAAATCAAAATAGTATGCATATTCCAAAAATTATTTAATATTGCTAAAACAAAGAAAAATAAAAAAACCACGCACAGAAATGGAAATGCCCATATGTATATATATATATATATATACAAATAATATATACAAAATATAACACAAAAATAACATTGCCTTTTATTTTTGATAAAAAATAAAAAGCAATAGAAATACTAGAAAAATATGAAGAAATATTTATTTAAATAAATATTTCTTCATATATTTTTTTTTAAACTACTTTCGTAGTACTAGTTTCATAACTCAATGTTTTTATAAATAAAAGAAATAAGAAAAAAAACTTTGGAAAAAAACTTTGATACTAAATTCCCAAATATACAGATAAATATATTCGAGATTTGATTTAATATTTACATTTCCCATTTGCAGGGGCATTTAATTAATTGCTAAAATTGTTATATAAATTTGCTATTGAGCTATTTCATGTGTTACTACAAATACCAAACAACCATTACCAAAAACAAAACAAAAGTAAAAACAACTACATTAAAACAAATATAATAAAAAACTAAAAATAATCTGCTCTTACCAACAATTTAAAAACTCCTGCTTCTTCATGAAATTTTGCTGAAACCATATCGAGAACTTCAAACTGCTGTTCACTTGTATACGCACGGCAAAAAACAATGTTTCCTAACATTGCTTCATGGTCAAGGTTAAAGCGATCAGCTATGCTACGTAAACGATTAGGTCGAAATGTGTTTTCTGTATCAATGAACATAACTTTTCCACCAGGATAGTTGTTAGGTCCTGGAAGTTGAGCCGTTACTATATTAAAACAAAAAACAAAAAACATTAACTAATGTTTAAAATCCAATAGATCAAATCATTAAGTAGCAATCTTACCACATAAAGTATGCGATATTTGAGTTTTACCAGTACGAAATTCTATAAATAAATATGTATTTACATTTATCTATTAGAGAGCGTAGGGGTAGAGGGCCAAAGGAGAAGATGTTTAGGACTACTTTAGATACTCACTTCTATTCTATAGAGAAAACCTAACAGTAATAGAATTATCAAACTTTTTTAGAAAAATATAAAATGGTTACTTTTAGTTATAGTATTGATATACCTCCAAATGCTTCAGTAATGGACATACTCTCAATACCACCTAAATCCAAAGAAAATGTATAAATTTTTTACATTCAATACTGCTGAGTAAAGAACTAAGTGTATCCTGTAAGTACTGCTTGAAAGAATTCAGTGTATAATTTTGAAGATAAGTTAACTGCTACACTAACAAATCTATTGTATATAATTTGAAGGAAAGTTTTTTTCCATTTTTATTTTGATGCAAAAACTTTCAATCAACCTTTTGTTTATAAGATGCACAAATTTTAAGTATAAAAAATTAAAGTATAAACCTTTAAAACCATAAAACTTTATCACTTATTATTATGAGGGATTAAGAATAAGTTATTTTAAAGTTTACCTCTATGAAATGGAGAGCACAGGATTCATAAAAGAAAAAATAATTGACCTATTTACTTCTACTTCTCAAAAAAGCATTAAATAAAATAAATTTGCCAAGATTATCCTGCTTACATAGTGGATACAAAGTTGCCACAAGATATAGCAAATAATCAACAGGTTGCTACAAGATGTAGAAAAAAATCAACAGCAATGATATTCTGATAATAATATGGATCTTAATTAAATGCAAAATAAATCTAAAGTGCAACACAAGTTATAACACTAAATGATGAATGTCTTTAAGTTGTCACATGATACAAATTCTTCAGTATTGATTTTAATTGAAGATTAACTGTATTTAACTTTATGATGCCAACTCTGAAGCTCCAATTGACAAAGATCTTAGCATTGTGATGACTACCACACACTTAAATGCATTCTTAACAAGCTATCACTTTAGATTAACACAAGAATAACTGTTAACATTCCACTATAAAATTTAAAATCTGTTCAAGGAAATCATCAAGTTAAATAAAGTGATAATTTATAAATAAGAAACTTTGCCTTCCTAGTAAAATTAAAGTAAACAGCAGTTGCAGTAGTTTAATTTTCAATTAGTAATAGATAGTTTATTAAGTAGTACCAACTATATTATTAGTAGATAAATTAGATTTAAAAAAAAATCTACTGAAGAGTGACAGATAAATTAAATGAAAATATAAATACATGAAAAGTAAGTGCAGAAAAAAATAGTTTTTTATTTTTTTTTTTTTTTTTGGTAATCGGATTATACATTCTAAAAAAAAAAAGAGGTATAAATTTCTACTTTTAGAGTATTTCACATATCCTACCAACTCAAAACTTAAAAATTTCAGTTTGATTGAGTATCTATTCAAAAGTTATGGCTAAATCAATATTAACCAAAATCATCAAAATTTGAGTATATAGAGCTTACAGAAGATTTTCCCAATCTTAAAGAGAGATATAACTTTGACTATAACTTTGTCAATAAAAAGAGTGATCACCTTTGTGAATGGTTTTTTACCTAAAAAATGGTTTTCTTCAAAAATCTCACTATGTAACATTTATCATCATACATACACTATTGGTAAACTTTTTAAATTAGTTGAATTTAAATTCTCTAACATATCTGATTATATCTGCAGGGTTAGAGTCAAATACATATTTTTTATTTGAATTTGTATTAGGAAAAAATTGGCTAGATTTAGATCTATTAGAATTTTTTTTTTTTTTTTTTCATTTTTAACCCTAAAATTAAACTTGTTTTTAAGGGATATTTGTTAGAAGACTTGTTTTCATTCTTCTGTTAAGTATACAGTTTTATCAGCCTTGTCTTCAAAAAATCTTTGTATATTTTCTTAAACTAAAGTATGAATATTTGTAATTGTAAAAATAAAGTATGAATATTTGTAATTGTATTTAGAAAATGCCATTTTGCATGTATTTGTGTTTGGAATTAACATATTTGATTTTGTATTTAATCAAATTTATTTGACCCCAACCCTGCTGATTAGTGCCAGTTCTATATGAGAAAATCAATAGTTAAAAATAACAATAAAAAATTAGCTTAGATTTACATACAGGTAAACAATTTTCAGTTATAACAAAAAATAAAAACTTATTTTCAGTTTATTTTCAAAAATAAAAACTTATTTTCAGTAATAATAAAAAATAAAAAAATTAAAATTAAAACATATTACAATGCAGCATTATAAAATACTCCATACAAAACTAATACTCAAGTAACTTGCTGAAAATAATATATTTACCTCCAAGCAATTTGCTAAAAAAAATAAAAAAAGTTGAATTTATATCTATCTATCTATATATGTGTGTGTGTGTGTGTGTGTGTGTGTGTGTGTGTGTGTGTGTGTGTGTGTGTGTGTGTGTGTGTGTGTGTGTATATATATATATATATATATATATATATATATATATATATATATATATTAGGATGGTCCTTAATTTTCAAAGAATAATTTTTGTATGGGGCACCCCTGAATTTTGTTTATAAGCATGCATACAAATTCACAAAAAAACTTAGCTAAATCTGAAAATATTTAGAGGTCCCTACCACATATACTAGTTAAGTATCATTTGGGTTCAGTGGCTGCATTTCACAAGTTGTTATACCGGTGAACTCTTTCACTATACACACCATACTACCTGGATATTTTATCAATTTGATGTTACTTATTTATTGTTAGGTTTCCAAGAATGCATTTCACCAGCTGTCAGCCATTTTTAATCAGACATTAACGGACAATCACACAATTTAAAAATAATATTTCATTATTCTGAATTAGTGCCTAGTATTGACTACTGACTTTCTCAGGGAAAGTTCCATAACAACGGACCTCGTGGATACTGGAATAAAAGTAAGTGTTTTCTTTGTTTATTTTTGCTTGAATGGGTTTTGCATTGTTTGCATTATTGCATAACATAAACATTGTCAGTTGGATTACTGGGTTCTGTTAGTTTTGGTAGAAATTATAATTAATTTGTATAATTAAATTGGATGGTAACAAGTACAATTTATTATTTTGAAGGAGATGGCCAATGCTTGCCGTGGGACTTTGAAACCAACTACAAGACAAGAAACTGAGTTGTGGCTGAAAGGCCAAATGTCTGAAATTCTCAGCTTTACAAAGTTACTGTCAAATAAGTAAGTCATGGCACTATTCTTCTATTACAAAGAGGCCACCAAACAGACGGTTCGTGAAGCATCACATTCAACAACTAATGACATTATTGAAGTATGGGCTAAAGCTCGAATCCCGACACGATTGAAGAAACGTGTTGTTGAAAATGTTGAATGTATGTTCCATGAATATGACAAACTGAAGAAAAATAAGGAAAATAAAGCGAAGCGCTCTGAAAGTCTACTGAAGAAGGAAGAAGAATGGAAGGATGGCTTAGAGAGTCTTTTTGACATTGCTCATGCGGATGCCATGAAGATGATTAGCATTCAGGAGGACAGGGAGTTCCTGTTAGCTCAGCGTGAGGCGGGACGACGTGGTAAGATGGGAAGTGTTGACAAAGCCTTGGCCAAAAGAGAAAGAGATGTTCACAACAAAGAAAACTTCAAGAGGAGAAAGGAGAGAGAAGAACAGGACAGAGTGGCCAGAGAGGAGAAAGCTATTCTTCAGACATCTGAATGCAAACAAGAATCTGGTAATGATGATGAAGCATTTGGTGAGCCATCATCAAGCACAACTTCAAAGAGAGCTGAACATATACGTGGTACACAAAAAATACTGAATGACAAGTTAGCAGTATGTCTGGATATGGCAAAGGTCAGTGATAGAAATGCTGCACTAGTCCTGACTCCAGCACTGCAACACCTTGGTTATGACCCAGCAGATTTTAATATCAATCGATCGTCCATTCGAAGAAAAAGGATGAAATGTAGACAAAGAATAGCAGAGAACTTGAAAGCAGAATTCAAGCCAACAGTTCCACTAACAATACACTGGGATGGGAAATTACTGGAAGATATCAGAAGCACAGAAATTGTGGACCGGCTCCCAATCCTTGTGTCTGGACTAGGAGCTGACCAACTTCTTTGTGTACCGAAGCTGCCTTCTGGAACTGGAGAAGCTTCAGCGACAGCTGTTTATGATGCAACTGTAGCGTGGGGCATAACTAATAAAGTCAAGTGTGTGTGCTTCGATACTACTGCCGTAAATAGTGGTCCAAGAAATGGTGCTTGCATCCTACTGGAGCAGAAGCTTGACAAAAATTTGCTCTGGTTTGCTTGTCACTATCACATTTTAGAAATAGTCTTAAAGGCAACGGTTACTCTTTCTCTTGGCCCTTCAAAGGGTCCAGACATCATGATTTTTAAAAGATTTAAAAGCAGTTGGGAATTTATTGACCAGTCAAAATTTCAGACATCAAGTTCGAATGACACCGTTTCCAGTGTTGCAATTGAAATTATTGTATTTGCTGATAACCAGCTGCAACAGTTTCAGCCTCGTGACGATTATCGTGAACTGCTAGAGCTGACAATTATGTTTCTGGGAGGCATTCCATCTCGAGGATGCTCAAGCACCGGCAAGACTTCATCGAGCCAGATGGATGGCCAAAGCTATTTATTCATTGAAAATATGGATGCTGAGAAGCCAATTCCAGATGACAAAGAAAGAAGAGAATGGAATAGCAGACGTGTGTCTTTTCACAGTGACTCTGTATGTAAAAGCCTGGTTTAGAGCACTGTCGGCACCATCTTCGCCTCGTGTTGTTCTTGAGCTCATCAAGGAGATCGACAAATACAAGGCACAGAACCGAGCAGTCTCTGAGATCGCAATGAAAAAATTTTTAGGACATTTGTGGTACTTGTCAGAAGAACTGATTACACTGGCTTTCTTTGACGATGAAGTCTCCGATGACACAAAACGTCTGATGGTCAGTGCCTTGCAAGCACCGGGGGCAGAACACCCTTTGAAGAGGATAACTGTTGATCCTTCGCTGGTGAGCTCCAAGAACTTGCAAGACTTTGTCACCGAGAGCATAGATTCTTCACCATCACTGGTCTACCATCAACTTTCCTCAACAAAGATGTGAAGCTCTGGTCTGCAGATGCTGACTATCAGTTGGCGAAGAAGATTGTCAGCAGTATGAGAGTTGTGAATGACATTGCAGAACGTGGAGTTGCCTTAATGGACGAATATAACAAGTTGCACACAAACAATGAGGAGCAGAAACAGTTCCTTCTCTTAATTGTAAAGAAGTACCGCCAGCGATTTCCTGATCGAGCGAAGAATACCCTAGCAATGGACTAACTAGACGTTTTTTCTCACTTCGACAATCTCAACGTAGAAGGACAATAATAATTACAATATGTAACAGTTTTTTAACGTGCTTCAATAAAGCAATGCTATTCTCTGTGACAGTTTAAATTTGTCCTGATCATTCATATTGTGCTGAGCAAATAAGCCTCCGGTGAGCACTTTTATTGATACGAACTCTGCGGTAGGGACCCCTAAATTATAATTTATTCAAATAAAATTTTCAGTAAAATCATTTTTTCTTAATAGTCGACCATTTGAGAGGGTGCCCCATCAGAAAACTGAAAAAAAAAAAAAAATTTTATAAACAAGGACCACCTTAATATATATATATATATATATATATATATATATATATATATATATATATATATATATATATATATATATATATATATATATATATATATATATATGTATATATATATTGTTGCTTGTGAATGATGTAAGTTAAATGGAAAAAAAAACCTTATTTGTCTTCATTTGTTGCTATAAGACAATTTTTACCATATTTTACCATGTTTGTGCATTTCTAGGTTTTTTTATTTTTTTAAATTACTTAATAATTTTTGTTGTAAAATTATTAAATTTTATTTTGAATTGTGATAAATTGTTACCATTGTATGATATAACAAAAACAGAATAGTAATCAAGTTTTTTTGACTTTCTTTTTCCTTTGGGGGACTTATATTATGCATTTTCAGGCATTATATTGGTATTTAGGTATTGGTATTTGATCATAATTTTTTCAATGTTTTCCGAAATAAAACTATGGCTGGATTTATAAATCATTTTCTAACTATCTGTGATTCAAACAAGCATTTTTATTTATTTTTTAGGCTTTTCTTATCATTTTAAATTACACAATAATTTACTATTTATTACAACATAAATTGCAGTGATTCTAGATAACACTTTTTAAAATTATTGGTATTTATTTATTTTAAAAAAATTGTACAAAAATTTACTATTTATTAGTATATAAAGATTAGTATATTATTAGTATATAAAGATCATCTTTGCAATGACATCGCAAATGGAGGAAGTGTTTGTTTAATGGTGAAAAGTAAAAAAAAAAAAAAGGAAAAAAAATGAAATAAATAGAAACAAAGTTTAAATAAAAAAGTCTTAGAAAATGGAAAATAATAAAAAAGAACCAAAAATTTTTCTACCACCAATATTTTATAGAAAGAAAAGAAAAAAGAACAATTTTAATTAATTTTGTACATAGTTTATATGTCATGTATTTTTGTAATTTGATGATTGTAATGAAATTTTTTTTTTGAAATTTTGTACATAGTTTATATGTCATGTATTTATGTAATTTGACGATTGTAATGAAATTTTTTTTTCATTTTTCTCTGTCAATTTAGTTGTTAGTGTTTTTTCTTTTGTAGCTTTCACCTATTGTTTAACTAATTTTATTTTATGCGTATTATATGTTTTAATATTGTATGTAGTAGTATACACTACTACATATATATATTTTTTTTTATATATTTTTTTTCATTTAAGTTTTAACATATATTTTTTTTCATTTAAATTTGCTTTTATTTTGCTTTTTTATATTTTTCTGCAAAATTTTTTATCTCTATCCTTATGAACTTATGTAATTAAAATTTTTGTTTTTTCTTACATATGTTTTTCACTCATCTTATCTCATCCATTCATTCTCTCTTTTTTTTCATTTTTCTTAACATTACATTTTTGCTCTGATTCCAACTTTTTAAATATTATTGTAATTATTACTTTTTTTTTAATGATTTGTATTAATGTATTTACTTTCTTTATTATTTCCTTGTTTTAATATTTTTTTATTTTATTTGTTTATTTTATTAAAGTGTCACTCCATTAACTAGTTTTTAACTTTATGAGTGACACCAAACCTAACTTTGTAAATAATAATTAAATTTGTAAATTTTGCTTTAATGGTTAAATAAATGGATTAAATAATCCATCAATATATTAAATAATCCTTCTGCATATGATTTAT